GGGTCTGTGTGGCGAGTCTACGGGTCTGTGTGGCGAGTCTGTGGGTCTGTGTGTGGTGAGTCTGTGGGTCTCTGTGTGAGTGAGTCTATGGGTCTCTGTGTGGCGAGTCTGTGGGTGTCTGTGTGGTGAGTCTATGGGTCTCTGTGTGGTGAGTCTATGGGTCTCTGTGTGGTGAGACTGTGGGTCTCTGTGTGGTGAGTCTGTGGGTCTGTGAGTGAGTCTATGGGTCTCGGTGTGAGTGAGCCTGTGGGTCTCTGTGTGGTGAGTCTGTGGGTCTGTGTGTGGTGAGTCTGTGGGTCTGTGTGTGGTGAGTCTGTGGGTGTCTGTGTGGTGAATCTATGGGTCTCTGTGTGGTGGTGAGTCTGTGGGTGTCTGTGTGGTGAGTCTGTGGGTCTGTGTGGTGAGTCTGTGGGTCTCTGTGTGGTGAGTCTGTGGGTCTCTGTGTGAGTGAGTCTGTGGGTCTCTGTGTGGTGAGTCTGTGGGTTTGTGTGGTGAGTCTGTGGGTCTCTGTGTGAGTGAGTCTGTGGGTCTCTGTGTGAGTGAGTCTATGGGTCGCTGTGTGGTGAGTCTGTGGGTCTGTGTGTGGTGAGTCTGTGGGTCTCTGTGTGAGTGAGTCTATGGGTCTCTGTGTGGCGAGTCTGTGGGTGTCTGTGTGGTGAGTCTATGGGTCTCTGTGTGGTGAGTCTATGGGTCTCTGTGTGGTGAGACTGTGGGTCTCTGTGTGGTGAGTCTGTGGGTCTGTGAGTGAGTCTATGGGTCTCGGTGTGAGTGAGCCTGTGGGTCTCTGTGTGGTGAGTCTGTGGGTCTGTGTGTGGTGAGTCTGTGGGTCTGTGTGTGGTGAGTCTGTGGGTCTGTGTGTGGTGAGTCTGTGGGTGTCTGTGTGGTGAATCTATGGGTCTCTGTGTGGTGGTGAGTCTGTGGGTGTCTGTGTGGTGAGTCTGTGGGTCTGTGTGGTGAGTCTGTGGGTCTCTGTGTGGTGAGTCTGTGGGTCTCTGTGTGAGTGAGTCTGTGGGTCTCTGTGTGGTGAGTCTGTGGGTTTGTGTGGTGAGTCTGTGGGTCTCTGTGTGAGTGAGTCTGTGGGTCTCTGTGTGAGTGAGTCTATGGGTCGCTGTGTGGTGAGTCTATGGGTCTCTGTGTGGTTAGTCTGTGGGTGTCTGTGTGGTGAGTCTATGGGTCTGTGTGTGGTGAGTTTGTGGGTCTCTGTGTGGTGAATCTGTGGGTCTCTGTGTGGTGAATCTGTGGGTCTCTGTGTGGTGAGTCTGTGGGTCTCTGTGTGGTGAATCTGTGGGTCTCTGTGTAGTGAGTCTGTGGGTCTCTGTGTGGTGAATCTGTGGGTCTTTGTGTGGTGAGTCTGTGGGTCTCTGTGTGGTGAGTCTGTGGGTCTCTGTGTGGTGAATCTGTGGGTCTTTGTGTGGTGAGTCTGTGGGTCTCTGTGTGGTGAGTCTGTGAGTCTCTGTATGGTGAGTTTGTGGGTCTGTGTGGTGAGTCTGTGGGTCTCTGTGTGGCGAGTCTGTGGGTCTCTGTGTGGTGAGTCTATGGGTCTCTGTGTGAGTGAGTCTATGGGTCTGTGTGGTGAGTCTATGGGTCGGTGTGGTGAGTCTGTGGGTCTCTGTGTGGTGAGTCTGTGGGTCTCTGTGTGGTGAGTCTGTGGGTCTCTGTGTGGTGAGTCTATAGGTCTCTGTGTGTGAGTCTGTGGGTCTCTGTGTGGTGAGTCTGTGGGTCTCTGTGTGAGTGAGTCTATGGGTCTCTGTGTGGTGAGTCTGTGGGTCTCTGTGTGGTGAGTCTATGGGTCTCTGTGTGGTGAGTCTGTGGGTCTCTGTGTGGTGAGTCTGTGGGTCTCTGTGTGGTGAGTCTGTGGGTCTCTGTGTGGTGAGTCTGTGAGTCTCTGTATGGTGAGTTTGTGGGTCTGTGTGGTGAGTCTGTGGGTCTCTGTGTGGCGAGTCTGTGGGTCTCTGTGTGGTGAGTCTATGGGTCTCTGTGTGAGTGAGTCTATGGGTCTGTGTGGTGAGTCTATGGGTCGGTGTGGTGAGTCTGTGGGTCTCTGTGTGGTGAGTCTGTGGGTCTCTGTGTGGTGAGTCTGTGGGTCTCTGTGTGGTGAGTCTATAGGTCTCTGTGTGAGTCTGTGGGTCTCTGTGTGGTGAGTCTGTGGGTCTCTGTGTGAGTGAGTCTATGGGTCTCTGTGTGGTGAGTCTGTGGGTCTCTGTGTGGTGAGTCTATGGGTCTCTGTGTGGTGAGTCTGTGGGTCTCTGTGTGGTGAGTCTGTGGGTCTCTGTGTGGTGAGTCTGTGGGTCTCTGTGTGGTGAGTCTATGGGTCTCTGTGTGGTGAGTCTGTGGGTCTCTGTGTGGTTAGTCTGTGGGTCTGTGTGGTTAGTCTGTGGGTCTCTGTGTGGTTAGTCTGTGGGTGTCTGTGTGGTGAGTCTATGGGTCTGTGTGTGGTGAGTCTGTGGGTCTATGTGTGAGTGAGTCTGTGGGTCTTTGTGTGGTGAGTCTGTGGGTCTCTGTGTGGTGAGTCTGTGAGTCTCTGTGTGGTGAGTTTGTGGGTCTGTGTGGTGAGTCTGTGGGTCTCTGTGTGAGTGAGTCTGTGGCTCTCTGTGTGGTGAGTCTATGGGTCTCTGTGTGGTGAGTCTATGGGTCTGTGTGGTGAGTCGGTGGGTCTCTGTGTGGTGAGTCTGTGGGTCTCTGTGTGGTGAGTCTGTTGGTCTCTGTGTGGTGAGTCTGTGGGTCTCTGTGGTGAGTCTATGGGTCTCTGTGGTGAGTCTGTGGGTCTCTGTGTGGTGAGTCTGTGGGTCTCTGTGTGGTGAGTCTGTGGGTCTCTGTGTGGTGAGTCTGTGGGTCTCTGTGTGGTGAGTCTGTGGGTCTGTGTGGTGAGTCTATGGGTCTGTGTGGTGAGTCTATGGGTCTGTGTGGTGAGTCTATGGGTCGGTGTGGTGAGTCTGTGGGTCTCTGTGTGGTGAGTCTGTGGGTCTCTGTGTGGTGAGTCTGTGGGTCTCTGTGTGGTGAGTCTATAGGTCTCTGTGTGAGTCTGTGGGTCTCTGTGTGGTGAGTCTATGGGTCTCTGTGTGGTGAGTCTGTGGGTCTCTGTGTGGTGAGTCTGTGGGTCTCTGTGTGGTGAGTCTGTGGGTCTCTGTGTGGTGAGTCTGTGGGTCTCTGTGTGGTGAGTCTGTGGGTCTCTGTGTGGTGAGTCTATGGGTCTCTGTGTGGTGAGTCTGTGGGTCTCTGTGTGGTTAGTCTGTGGGTCTCTGTGTGGTTAGTCTGTGGGTCTCTGTGTGGTTAGTCTGTGGGTGTCTGTGTGGTGAGTCTATGGGTCTGTGTGGTGAGTCTGTGGGTCTATGTGTGAGTGAGTCTGTGGGTCTTTGTGTGGTGAGTCTGTGGGTCTCTGTGTGGTGAGTCTGTGAGTCTCTGTGTGGTGAGTTTGTGGGTCTCTGTGTGGTGAGTCTGTGGGTCTGTGTGGTGAGTCTGTGGGTCTCTGTGTGAGTGAGTCTGTGGCTCTCTGTGTGGTGAGTCTATGGGTCTCTGTGTGGTGAGTCTATGGGTCTGTGTGGTGAGTCTGTGGGTCTCTGTGTGGTGAGTCTGTGGGTCTCTGTGTGGTGAGTCTGTTGGTCTCTGTGTGGTGAGTCTGTGGGTCTCTGTGGTGAGTCTATGGGTCTCTGTGATGAGTCTATGGGTCTCTGTGTGGTGAGTCTGTGGGTCTCTGTGTGGTGAGTCTGTGGGTCTCTGTGTGGTGAGTCTGTGGGTCTGTGTGGTGAGTCTATGGGTCTGTGTGGTGAGTCTGTGGGTCTCTGTGTGGTGAGTCTGTGGGTCTCTGTGTGGTGAGTCTGTGGGTCTCTGTGTGGTGAGTCTGTGGGTCTGTGTGGTGAGTCTATGGGTCTCTGTGGTGAGTCTATGGGTCTGTGTGGTGAGTCTGTGGGTCTCTGTGTGGTGAGTCTGTGGGTCTCTGTGTGGTGAGTCTGTGGGTCTGTGTGGTGAGTCTATGGGTCTCTGTGTGGTGAGTCTGTGGGTCTCTGTGTCGTGAGTCTGTGTGGTGAGTCTGTGGGTCTGTGTGGTGAGTCTCTGGGTCTGTGTGGTGAGTCTGTGGGTCTGTGTGGTGAGTCTGTGGGTCTGTGTGGTGAGTCTGTGAGTCTGTGTGGTGAGTCTGTGGGTTTGTGTGGTGAGTCTGTGGGTTTGTGTGGTGAGTCTGTGGGTCTGTGTGGTGAGTCTGTGGGTCTCTGTGTGGGTGAGTCTATGGGTCTCTGTGTGGTGAGTCTATGGGTCTGTGTGGTGAGTCTATGGGTCTGTGTGGTGAGTCTGTGGGTCTGTGTGGTGAGTCTGTGGGTCTCTGTGTGGTGAGTCTGTTGGTCTGTGTGGTGAGTCTATGGGTCTGTGTGGTGAGTCTGTGGGTCTGTGTGTGGTGAGTCTATGGGTCTGTGTGTGGTGAGTCTATGGGTCTCTGTGCGGTGAGTCTGTGGGTCTGTGTGGTGAGTCTATGGGTCTGTGTGGTGAGTCTGTGGGTCTGTGTGGTGAGTCTGTGGGTTTGTGTGGTGAGTATGTGGGTCTCTTTGTAGTGAGTGTATGGGTCTCTGTGTGGCGAGTCTATGGGTTTCTGTTTGGTGAGTCTATGGTTCTGTGTGGTGAATCTATGGGTCTCTGTGTGGTGAGTCTATGGGTCTGTGTGGCGAGTCTGTGGGTCTCTGTGTGGTGAGTCTGTGGGTCTCTGTGTGGTGAGTCTATGGGTTTCTGTGTGGTGAGTCTGTGGGTTTCTGTGTGGTGAGTCTGTGGGTCTCTGTATGGTGAGTCTGTGGGTCTCTGTGTGGTGAGTCTGTGGGTCTCTGTGTGGTGAGTCTGTGGGTCTGTGTGTGGTGGTGAGTCTGTGGGTCTCTGTGTGGTTGTGAGTCTATGGGTCTCTGTGTGGTTGTGAGTCTGTGGGTCTCTGTGTGGTGGTTGTGAGTCTGTGGGTCTCTGTGTGGTGGTTATCAGTGTGGGTCTCTGTGTGGTGGTGAGTCTGTGGGTCTCTGTGTGGTGGTGAGTCTGTGGGTCCCTGTACGGCGAGTCTGTGGATCTCTGTGTGGTTGTGAGTCTGTGGGTCTCTGTGTGGTGGTCGTGAGTCTGTGGGTCTCTGTGTGTTTGGCCTGCTAACAAAACCCACGGTGATCATCAGTATCTGTGACGCGTCCATGAAAACCACCACCACCGCCACCACCACCCACCCACCCACACACTGAAATTCTCAGAGAATGAGAGAGAATGAGAGACAGGGCCCCAGGGTTCGAACCCATGTGTCCTCCTCTCGAGCGTCTCCGACGGACCCACACCACCCTGGCGTCGACCAACAAGTAACAACAACAACAACAGGACAACAACAACAACAACAGCCCAAGGTTTGTAGTAGCGGGCCCTCCCGACCGCCTTTGTCTCTCCTAGTCGAAATTTGGGGCATGAGGCAATCGCTATTAACCGCCATGTTAAATCACCACCACCACCACCACCACCTAAATCACCAACTTAATTCCCACAACTACCATCTTAACCACCACCTTAACCACTACCACCACCACCATCACCATGTTAACCACCACTATCATCAGCACATCTTAACCACCACCATTTTAACCACAACCAAAACCATCGTAATGCATTACCACCACCACTACCATCACCACTATCACCACCTTAACCACTGCCACCACCGTAAACACCACCACCACCATAAATCATTAACCACAACCACCACGTTAACCACCACCACCACCACCACAACCTGGCCAAGTGAGTGAGAGCTTGAAAGTTCAACTCCCGCCTGTGTTGGTGGTGGTGCTGGTGGTGGCGGCGGAGGCTGCGCTGGTAACCAACAGCTGCTGCTCCGGTTGTTGTTGTTGTTGTGGTGGTTGTGGTGGTGGTGGTGGTTGTGCTGACGCTACAACCACCAGCTGCTGTTGCTGTTGTTGTGTTGTTGGCGCATTTGCGTTAGTTGTCCACATGTCCTGCTGCTGCTGCTGCTGGTGGTTGTTGTGTTGCTGCTGTTGCTGCTGCTGTTGTTGTTGTTGTTGTTGCTGGTGGTGGTGGTGGTGGTAGGGCAGCGAGTAGTAGACTGTTCCCGTTGGGGAGGTCACAGGTCCGCCACCGCCCCCAAGAAGTGTCGTCCCGGTGGGGAGACACGCCGGGGACGACGTGGACGAGGTGGACGACGTTGAGGGGTCCAGCAACATGAAGGCATTGGGGGGGGGGCCTGCAATGAGGGAGGGAGGGAGGGGTGGGGAGGGGGGGCAGGGTTACGGGCAGACACAGATACCCGCTCGCTCGCCTAGACACCCACTGGCCCAGACACCCATTGGCCCAGACACCCACTCACCTAGACACCCACTGGCTCGCATAGACACCCACTCGCCTAGACACCCACTCGCCTAGACACCCACTCGCCCAGTCACCCACTCGCCCAGACACCCACTCGCCCAGACACCCACTGGCCCAGACACCCACTGGCCCAGACACCCACTGGCCCAGACACCCACTCGCCCAGTCACCCACTCGCCCAGACACCCACTTGCCTAGACACCCACTCGCCCAGTCACCCACTCGCCCAGACACCCACTCGCCCAGACACCCACTGGCCCAGACACCCACTGGCCCAGACACCCACTGGCCCAGACACCCACTCGCCCAGACACCCACTGGCCCAGACACCCACTCGCCCAGACACCCACTGGCCCAGACACCCACTGGCCCAGACACCCACTCGCCTAGACACCCACTCGCCCAGACACCCACTCGCCTAGACACCCACTCGCCCAGGCACCCACTCGCCCAGACACCCACTCGCCCAGACACCCACTCGCCCAGACACCCACTGGCCCAGACACCCACTGGCCCAGACACCCACTCGCCCAGGCACCCACTCGCCCAGACACCCACTCGCCCAGTCACCCACTCGCCCAGACACCCACTCGCCCAGTCACCCACTCGCCCAGCCACCCACTCGCCCAGACACCCACTCGCCCAGCCACCCACTGGCCCAGACACCCACTGGCCCAGCCACCCACTGGCCCAGACACCCACTCGCCCAGACACCCACTCGCCCAGCCACCCACTGGCCCAGACACCCACTGGCCCAGACACCCACTGGCCCAGACACCCACTCGCCCAGTCACCCACTCGCCCAGACACCCACTCGCCCAGACACCCACTGGCCCAGACACCCACTGGCCCAGACACCCACTGGCCCAGACACCCACTCGCCCAGTCACCCACTCGCCCAGCCACCCACTCGCCCAGCCACCCACTGGCCCAGACACCCACTCGCCCAGTCACCCACTCGCCCAGACACCCACTCACCTAGACACCCACTCGCCCAGGCACCCACTGGCCCAGACACCCACTCGCCCAGACACCCACTGGCCCAGACACCCACTGGCCCAGACACCCACTGGCCCAGACACCCACTCGCCCAGTCACCCACTCGCCCAGCCACCCACTCGCCCAGCCACCCACTGGCCCAGACACCCACTCGCCCAGGCCCCCACTCGCCCAGACACCCACTCACCTAGACACCCACTCGCCCAGGCACCCACTGGCCCAGACACCCACTGGCCCAGACACCCACTCGCCCAGACACCCACTCGCCCAGTCACCCACTCGCCCAGACACCCACTCGCCCAGACACCCACTCGCCCAGACACCCTTCTCGCCCAGTCACCCACTCGCCCAGACACCCACTCGCCCAGACACCCACTCGCCCAGTCACCCACTCGCCCAGCCACCCACTCGCCCAGACACCCACTGGCCCAGACACCCACTGGCCCAGACACCCACTGGCCCAGACACCCACTCGCCCAGTCACCCACTCGCCCAGCCACCCACTCGCCCAGCCACCCACTGGCCCAGACACCCACTCGCCCAGTCACCCACTCGCCCAGACACCCACTCACCTAGACACCCACTCGCCCAGGCACCCACTGGCCCAGACACCCACTCGCCCAGACACCCACTGGCCCAGACACCCACTGGCCCAGACACCCACTCGCCCAGACACCCACTCGCCCAGACACCCACTGGCCCAGACACCCACTCGCCCAGACACCCACTGGCCCAGACACCCACTCGCCCAGTCACCCACTCGCCTAGACACCCACTCGCCTAGACACCCACTCGCCTAGTCACCCACTGGCCCAGACACCCACTGGCCCAGACACCCACTGGCCCAGCCACCCACTCGCCCAGCCACCCACTGGCCCAGACACCCACTCGCCCAGGCACCCACTCGCCTAGCCACCCACTCGCCCAGTCACCCACTGGCCCAGTCACCCACTCGCCCAGGCACCCACTCGCCCAGTCACCCACTCGCCCAGCCACTCACTCGCCCAGACACCCACTCGCCCAGACACCCACTCGCCTAGACACCCACTCGCCCAGACACCCACTCGCCCAGACACCCACTCGCCCAGACACCCACTCGCCCAGACACCCACTGGCCCAGACACCCACTCGCCTAGACACCCACTCGCCTAGACACCCACTGGCTCGCCCAGCCACCCACTCGCCCAGCCACTCACTGGCCTAGCCACTCACTGGCCCAGCCACCCACTCGCCCAGCCACCCACTCGCCCAGGCACCCACTCGCCTAGTCACCCACTCGCCTAGACACCCACTCGCCCAGACACCCGCTCCCAAGCCACCCACTCGCCCAGTCACCCAGTCACCCACTCGCCCAGCCACCCACTGGCCCAGCCACCCGCTCGCCTACCTAACCACCCACCCATCAAATCCACTGACCCACCTACCAACCCATCATCCATGCACCCACCCACCCACCACCCACCCACCACCCACCACCCACCCACCACCCACCCACCACCCCCCCCACCACTCACCTCCATCCATCACCAGCCCCTCCTCGGTACCCGCCGCTCCGTCGCCGTGGTAACGCGACGACGACACAGACGAAGCCGTCGCCATCATCACGCCCCCCCCCACTCCTCCCCCCCCGCCCCCACCCCCGCCCGGAGGCCCCCCCCCCCCGTAGAAGTGTGGGGAGGGGCCACTCTGGGCGTAGTATCCCTGCGTGGGGCCCAACATCCCAGCACCACCACCACCGCCACCACCACCACCACCGCCGCCACCACCACCACCACAATCCGCCACAATCCCATACATTGCCTGCTGCTGCTGCTGCTGCTGCTGCATGGGGTCATAGTAGGAGGGGTGATGAGGTGGTGACGAGGTGAAGAGGTATCCACCACCACCACCACCACCTGCACCACCACCACCACCACCTGCACCACCACCACCAGCACCAGCAGCAGGAGGAGAAGGAGCAGCGATGTAATGGTGTGGAGGCGGTGCAGGTGGTGGTGGCGCCATGTGGTGAGGATGATGGTGAGCGGGTTGGTAAGGGAGAGGTTGGTGGTGGTGGTGGTGGTGAGGAGGGAGGTGGTGGTGGTGGTGGTGAGGAGGGGGGTGGTGGTGGTGAGGAGGGGGGTGAGGAGCAGCTGTGGCGTGGAAGGGTTCCGCCACGGGGATGAATTGGGATGGAGCGCTGTAGAGCGGAGTCTGCCAGTAGCGGGCCTGGTGCCAGTACTGCGGGGTGGGGGGGGGGGGGGGGGGCAGGGGGGGGGGGGGGGGGGGGGGGGGTCAGGGGGGGGAGGGGGTCAGAGGGGGAGGGGGTCAGAGGGGGAAGGGGTCAAAGTTTAAAGTTGGTTCTGCGTGACCAACTTTAAAGCGGTCAGTCTCGTTATGAATGAATGCGTGGGGTGGGGTGGGTCAGTGGGTGAGTGGGTAGGTGGGTGAGTGGGTAGGTGGGCGAGTGGATGAGTTGGTAGGTGGGGGAGTGGGTGAGTGGGTAGGTGGGCGAGTGGGTGAGTGGGTAGGTGGGCGAGTGGGTGAGTGGGTAGGTGAGCGAGTGGGTGAGTGGGTAGGTGGGCGAGTGGGTGAGTGGGTAGGTGGGCGAGTGGGTGAGTGGGTAGGTGGGTGAGTGTGTAGGTGGGCGAGTGGATGAGTTGGTAGGTGGGCGAGTGGGTGAGTGGGTGAGTGGGTAGGTGGGCGAATGGGTGAGTGGGTAGGTGGGTGAGTGGGTAGGTGGGCGAGTGGGTGTGTGGGTAGTTGGGCGATTGAGTGAGCGGGCGAGGGAGTGGGCGAGTAGGCGGGCGAGTGGGTGGGTGGGCGAGTGGGTGGGCGGGCGAGCGAGTGGGTGGGATGGGTGAGCGGGCGGGCGAGTGAGTGAGCGGACGAGTGGGTGGGCGAGTGGGTGGGCGAGTGGGTGGGTGGGCGAGTGGGTGGGTGGGCGAGTGGGTGGGCGAGTGGGTGGGTGAGTGGGTGGGTGGGCGAGTGGGTGGGCGAGCGGGTGGGTGGGCGAGTGGGTGGGCGGGCGAGCGAGTGGGTGGGATGGGCGAGCGGGCGGGCGGGCGAGTGAGTGAGCGGGCGAGTGGGTGGGCGAGTGGGTGGGCGAGTGGGTGGGTGGGCGAGTGAGTGGGTGGGCGAGTGGGTGTGGGCGAGTGGGTGGGTGGGCGAGTGGGTGGGCGAGTGGGTGGGCGAGTGGGTGGGCGAGTGGGTGGGTGGGCGAGTGGGTGGGCGAGTGGGTGGGCGAGTGGGTGGGCGAGTGGGTGGGTGGGCGAGTGGGTGGGCGAGTGGGTGGGTGGGCGAGTGAGTGGGTGGGCGAGTGGGTGGGCGAGTGGGTGGGTGGGCGAGTGGGTGGGCGAGTGGGTGGGCGAGTGGGTGGGCGAGTGGGTGGGTGGGCGAGTGGGTGGGCGAGTGGGTGGGCGAGTGGGTGGGCGAGTGGGTGGGTGGGCGAGTGGGTGGGCGAGTGGGTGGGCGGGCGAGTGGGTGGGCGGGCGAGTGGGTGGGCGAGTGGGTAGGCGAGTGGGTGGGTGGGCGAGTGGGTGGGCGAGTGGGTGGGCGAGTGGGTGGGCGAGTGGGTGGGTGGGCGAGTGGGTGGGCGAGTGGGTGGGCGAGTGGGTGGGTGGGCGAGTGGGTGGGCGAGTGGGTGGGCGGGCGAGTGGGTGGGCGGGCGAGTGGGTGGGCGAGTGGGTGGGCGAGTGGGTGGGCGGGCGAGTGGGTGGGCGAGTGGGTGGGTGGGCGAGTGGGTGGGCGAGTGGGTGGGCGAGTGGGTGGGTGGGCGAGTGGGTGGGCGAGCGAGTGAGCGAGCGAGTAAGCGGGTGAGTGAGCGTGGCGTTGTGTACCTGGATACCCAGATTGTAGAAGAGCTGTAGAAGCTTCTTGTCTGCGAGCAGGAGAGAGTTGGCGTGCCACGCACACAGACCGGGGGGGGGGGGGGTGGGGGGGGTGGGGGGGGGGGGGTTGGGGGGGGGTCACGGGCACACGATAACCCGGGGGGGTCATTAGGTAGGGTGCTGTGGGTGTAGTTGTTGATGTTGTGGGTGTAGTTGTTGATGCTGTGGGTGTAGTTGTTGATGTTGTGGGTGTTTGTCGTTGATGTTGTGGGTGTAGTTGTTGATGTTGTGGGTGTAGTTGTTGATGTTGTGGGTGTAGTTGTTGATGCTGTGGGTGTAGTTGTTGATGCTGTGGGTGTAGTTGTTGATGCTGTGGGTGTAGTTGTTGATGCTGTGGGTGTAGTTGTTGATGTTGTGGGTGTTTGTCGTTGTTGTTGTTGATGTTGTGGGTGTTTGTCGTTGTTGTTGTTGTGGGTGTTTGTCGTTGTTGTTGATGTTGTTGTTGATGTTGTTGATGTTGTGGGTGTTTGTCGTTGTTGTTGATGTTGTGGGTGTTTGTCGTTGTTGTTGTTGATGTTGTGGGTGTTTGTCGTTGTTGTTGTTGATGTTGTGGGTGTTTGTCGTTGTTGTTGTTGTTGTTGTTGTGGGTGTAGTTGTTGTTGTTGTTGTTTACCTTGGGGGAGGTCTCCCCCCGTGGGGTCCAGGGAGATGGGGGGCAAGGTGCCCCCCACGGTTCCCTCGGCTCCCTCGAGCACCAGGAAGGGAGGCGCGGCCAACACCAGCGCTACATACACACACACACAGATTACACACACACACACAGATTACACACACACAGATTACACACACACACACAGATTACACACACACAGATTACACACACACACACAGATTACACACACACACAGATTCATACACAGATTCATACACACACACAGATTACACACACACACACAGATTACACACACACACACACAGATTACACACACACAGATTACACACACACACACAGATTACACACACACACACACACAGATTACACACACACAGATTCACACACACACACACAGATTACACACACACACAGATTACACACACAGATTACACACACAGATTCACACACACACACAGATTCTACACACACACACACACACACATTCACACACACACACAGATTCATACACACACAGATTCATACACACACAGATTACACACACACAGATTCATACACAGATTCATACACAGATTCATACACACACAGATTCATACACAGATTCATACACAGATTCATACACAGATTCATACACACACAGATTCATACACACACAGATTCATACACACACAGATTCATACACACACACAGATTCATACACACACAGATTCATACACACACAGATTCATACACACACAGATTCATACACACACAGATTCACACACACACACAGATTACATACACACACAGATTACACACACAGATTCATACACACACAGATTACATACACACACAGATTACACACACACAGATTACACACACACACAGATTACACACACAGATTCATACACACAGATTCGTACACACACAGATTAATACACACACACACAGATTCATACACACAGAATACATACACACAGAATACATACACACACAGATTCATACACACAGATTGCATACACACACAGATTACATACACACACAGATTACACACACACAAATTCATACAGATTCATACACACACAGATTACACACAGAGATTCATACACACACAGATTACACACAGAGATTCATACACACACAGATTCACACACACACACACAGATTCATTCACACACACAGATTCATTCACACACACAGATTCACACACACACAGATTCACACACACACACACACACAGATTCTACACACACACACACACAGATTCTACACACACACACACACAGATTCTACACACACACACACATTCACACACACACACACACAGATCATACACACACAGAGATGCATACACACAGAGATTCATACACACAGAGAGATGCATACACACACAGATTCATACACACACAGATTACACACACACAGATTCACACACACACACACAGATTCACACACACACACACAGATTCACACACACACACACTCATGCACACACACATTCATACACACACAGATTCATACACACAGATTCACACACACACACAGATTCATACACACACACAGATCCATACATACACACACACAGATTCACACACACACACACAGATTCACACACACACACACACAGATTCACACACACACACAGATTCATACACACACACAGATCCATACATACACACACACAGATTCACACACACACACACAGATTCACACACACACACACACAGATTCACACACACACAGATTCACACACGCACACACAGATTCACACACACAGATTCACACAAACACACACAGATTCACACACACGCACACACAGATTCACACACACACACAGATTCACACACACACACAGATTCACACACAAACACAGATTCACACACAAACACAGATTCACACAAACACACACAGATTCACACAAACACACACAGATTCACACACACACACACAGATTCACACACACACAGATTATATACACACACACAGATTATATACACACACACAGATTATACACACAGATTACACACACACAGATTACACACACACACACACACAGATTACACACAGATTACACACACACACAGATCACACACACACAGACACACACACAGACACCACCCCCAAGGTAGCCTTTAGGC